TCTCAGCCAGGAATAAACAGCAGCTGACTTTGAGACGCTTCCCTAAAAGTAGAAACTGCATGATTTGCAAAAGGCCAATAATTGAGCAAAGACGGGGTTAAAGCGGAGCTCTGGTTCCTCTGCCCGGGTCTACAGACAGACCTTGTGCTTCGGCACTATTGCATCAAGATCGGACGAGAGGGAATATCTCACTATATCACGGTATATATCCAGAGGACCTGCCCTTAATATAGAAAGAGCAGCGTAATCTACTTATCATAGATGAGAAACATGCTGCTCTTAAACCATGTCAGCGTGACCACCAGTTGGAAAATCAGCATTTTATTTTAGCACTTTTTCTGTTTTGTCAATGCAAGAGTCACAAAAATGTGTGCAGTTTAATGTTAGTTATTATGTATTGTTGATAAACAATAAAAAGCATTGAAAACAATAAGTGATACTGCTAACCAGAAAATGCTCTAGTTTATAAGGTGACAAGCTTGCATGACAAAACTACTTTAGTACTTAAAACTATCTATTATCTTTCCTCATGGTTGCATGAAAATTAATAACCAGATCAGATTTAAACATAGCACATATCATCTGCTTTTCATTGTTATGCATCAGCGTACATTTAAAAAAAAAAAAAGACTGTGTTTGACAAAAAAAATAAGCAAAAATGAGAGAAACCGGTCACTTCAATGCACATTAGGTCTCACAATTATGACTTCCGAACTCCTAAATAAGAACTTCCCAAGAAGACTTGGCAGTAATAACAAGTAACCAAAGTTTGGAGCCAAATTAAATTTTCTTCCTCTAGATAATTGGTGTGCCATCAAACTGGAAGCAGCGTGTCTGCAGAATGGAGTTAGTTAGCGTCTATCTCAGGAATCTATGGGGCGGATGGAGGCAGTTTGCTGCTAATAATGAGCAATGGGAAGCCGATCGGTGTCAGCAGGAAACTCTTCCTCAAGCAAGCAGCCATCTTTCTTCATCAGGGCCTTCGGGCCAAAGAGCAGGTCAGCGGAGACAGAACGGACATCCTGAGTGACAGCACAGCTATCACAACAACATCGCTGACATATGTCGTTATTTAGGGCTGATCTGAGCTCAGATGCTTATAATACAAATACTTTCAGCTCTGACTAGATGAGTAAAGTACATCAGATAAATTCTATATCAATACAGTAATGAAATTGATGGAAGAACTGTACATTATAGTTATACTTTTTTGGGTGTATATGTGCATTCAAATGGCTCTAATTATTGATGTCTGTAGTCCATCAGTATTGACTTCTTCAGAATTCGTCGCCGGTTTTATATTTTGAATGCTTATGTTTCTTGGGTTGTCATATAGTTGTGTTGAATATAATGACGTGTCTTTCAGAAAACCGATGGCTGGCAGCAATAACAGTAACAACCTTACCAACAAGTTTTTTAACAAGGTTACAGATGCAAACTTTTTACATGCTTAACAAGTTACAGTATACTTGAGCTGAATGTTTGCAATGATCACTGCTAGAGAAGTTTGCATAATTTGGACAGAATAGGAACTTCAACATGTTCCTTCAACTATGTTCCTTCAATCTATCTATCTATCTATCTATCTATCTATCTATCTACTCTATCTATAGGGTACAACAGGGCTAAAGGCGCCCCAGGGTAAAAGGCACCTTTGATTTTATTTTCTTCTAAACCACTAGATGGCACAAAAACTTGACTTAGCACTTTCTGAAACATCAGCTTTTCAAGATGCACGTGCAAATTTGGCTGATCCTTGACTCAATCGCGGGCAGCAGCGCAAAGTTGATTCTGTGCTAATTTGATCTAATACTTTATTTTTTTGATACTTGATTTTCTTGATACTTTTTTTTTTTATGTTGTTGATTTTAGAGATGAGAATCTCTAAAAATATTGCATATATTTTGAGACAAAGGTCTTCTTAATGATTTTTTATTATTATTATTTAGTTTAAGGTAATTAAAGCAACAGTCTTTCAATAGCGGAGGAATGTATAAAAGTATGGTATTTGGGTTAAAAACTGCCCCTGCTTTTGGGGCAAAAGGCACAATAATTAACATGATAATAAATAGCTGGCTGACTTTTCCATTTGTTGACATGACATGGCTAGATTCAGGTGGTATATATCATATATTAAGTTGGGTGTCCACTGTGGAGATAAATATCATATAATAAAATACCGAGAGTTGTTACTACTGTAAATCTAATATTAAATTATTATGATATCTCCTTCAATGCTTTCAAATCTTACAGAGCTTTTTTTTTTTTTTTTGTATCTGTATTTAAAAAATATATGAAATATATATTATATATTTTAAATATAAAAATATACATACTTTAATGACAGTATTGAACAAAAATGAATTAACTCATTTATCAAAATAAGTAGAACATAGTACAAACTTTGCTAAAGTGATTGTTTTGAATGAGTATTCACTTTTATTGTAACAATACTGTGTGCCTTTTTCCCCATGCTGGTGAGCCATTTACCCCATGTGTGGGGTAAGAGGCCCTCTTTGCCACCTTATATATTTATATGATTTTTAAACCAAATAAACCACTTGTATGATTTATTTTCACACAATATGTATCACAAACATGAATGCGAATATTCAATTATGTGGTTTCATAGGGCTGTAAAAAAGTTGTTAAATTGTATTGGTTTCATGATTTCAATTTTAATTTTTGATTACTAAAATGTATTACTAAAAAAACAGAATCCAGAAAACAAACAAACAAACAAATAGCATCTGCTTTAATGTATAGCAGACATTTTCAAGTATACTTGAGTACTGATATTTGATACTACCACAGTATGTTCAGTTGAATTGAACAAGTATGTTTCTATCCGAAGCATTAATTGAAGTTGAGGTGTATACGCACGGGGACTGTGTTCAAACTCTATGCTTTCCTTCCAGAGACTGTTTACCATGACGAACCGTTACCCCTGCTGCTTAGTTTATTCAAATTGGATGCTAATTTGGTGCACTGTTATCAGTTAGCTAAATTAGCTGCTCTGACTTTGAAGTATGAATCTAGTATGTTGCACATAAACAGAAACAGACTCTCTCACCCTCAACAAAACAACACTCTACTTTGAAGTCCAGTGTTTAACCAATTAGCCCCCACAATCACAGGCAACTTTTCTATTTGGCGCACAAACGCTGAACTGATAACATTCCCGTGCTTACCTGGAATTAAAATAGTCCATTGCGTTCTGTATTCCTCTCTCTCTCTGTGCTATTGCCATCAAACGTCCTTGATGTGAGCCCGACAGATCTCTGACTCTGCTCTGCTCGGCTTTGATAACGCTTCAGCACAGACCTTGTCAAAGCCGCCATTGGAGCGTGGGTGAGCCACTTCCACATTAGTGACAGTTGCTGCTCTCCAACTCCTTAACCGTATAAACAGCTTTTTGTCGTTTATTTTAGAGTTTGATTTATTTGCATTTCCTGAGTGTGCATATTATTCTCTGTTTGATAAGTCAAGTTTCCTAGTGGACAGATCATTTTATTTGTCTACGTTTCAGGCGGTGATTTTGACACTTTTTAATAGATCACTGCACTCTTTAATTTCACTACAGTCAGAAAGATTGCTCTTTTATTTATCAATATCAACAGTACGCTTCATTCTTAGAGTAAAGATAAAGGACATAATAGTGTCATTATTTAGCTAAATTATGATTCCGTTCAGTTCAATAACAATGCCAAAGTAAAATGTATTAGTCTTTAAACAAATTTAGTTTCAGCTATGTATAAAGCAGCTCAATAGAAGACATAGTGTCAATATTCAGCTCAATGTATTTTTATTTATTTATTTTTTTTCTCGTCCGATAGTGTCAGTACAGTTAAATATTTTAAACCCCCATTTATCAGCATGAAGTCTGATTTACTTTGTATGTAATTCAGGCCAAAATTCACTAACTTAAATGGGAAGAGACTGACTGACAGTCACTTTTGTTATTATGTGTTGTTTAGGGATGGATAAATCTAAAATTGATGATACTGAAATGATAGACTGTGGCCAAAACATGCATTCAAATAATTAAACAGAAGTGTGAGCCTACAACTAGCAGTACAGATTTAGTTTTTCTTTCTCTCTCCCAGCAGGGATCTCCAAAATTGTTAAACAATGACATTTTACTCTGAAAAAAAAAATATTTTTAACTTAATTTTAATAAAAGCATTTAATAATCAAATTCTCATTGAAGTATCACACTATGTGCAGTCATGAAGAAACATCGACCAATTAGAGAAATCACTGACATCATGGACATGCCAGCTTTTCACAGACTAGCGGAGCCTTTTGTTTGTGTATTGTGTACGATTTTAAATAGACTGAAGCAAATGACATTTTGTCACAACCTAGTAAATTACATGTTATTTTAGTTAGTAATGTAATGTTGAGGTTCTATAAATCACTGAAATAAACATTTTGACAACCTTTTCTAGATAAGGTTAGCTCATTAGTTAGATACCTTCATAATGTTTGGGTGTTGTAGTGTACACTCACATAAAAATACAGTGTTTTCTGATAAGAACTAACTCTAAATAAATAAAGAAGTAAATACAAGTTCCTTATTGGCATTTAGGGGTTCCATGAAGAACCTTTAACAGCCATTGAACCTTTGTTTCTTTATATCAGGTTTTTTTTTTTTTACGCGTGAACAGCTAACTCTTAAAAATAAAGCTTCTTTATTGGAATCCATGGTCCCATGAAGAAACTTTAACATCCATTGAGCCTTTCGAGTCCACAAAGGGTTCTTTATAGTGTAAAATGGTTTGTTAGAAAATTCAAATATTCTTCACACTTAGAAAATAACGGTTCTTTTAAGAACTGCTCAATACAAGAAATTATTTCAGGAACACAAAAACTGTTTCATTTCCCCTCTGTGAACATTATTTTTTAAGAGTGTCCCACTGAGCTCTATTATGAGCAGTTCTTGAAATACAATCCTAGTTTCCTGCTGTACTATTCTGTAAAGGAACATCAGCTCTCACCTCTCTCTGGGCATCTGGTGGTTGGGGTTGTGGTGGCAGCGAATGCTCAGACCGAAGAGTTTCCGGGCCGTGCGCTGGATCTTCAGTCTTTGGGCCTCCAGTGAACTCTGCAAGAGCCGGTAGCGGTTCTGAAGGTCCCAGTCGCTGCCCCACAGCAGGTGCACGCTGCTCACCGGCAGGAAGTGTGTCGCAGGCAGACGTTTCAGAAACGACTTAAACTCGTCTAAGGTGAGAGACAGAGAAAGACAGGTGCTCATACGGTGAAGGGCAAAAGCCTATCCACATAAACCACATATTGATACTTGGAATCCATTGTGGGAGAAACCTGTTAAGAGTGATGGAGAAAAGTATTGACTTTTACGGACAATGATTGATTTTAACCGCAAACACGGTGTCAATACTATTACGTAGAGAGGCTTCAGAGTTCAATGTACAGAGTCGAAATGATTTCCATCTCATATATTTTACCATTCTATATTTCAATGTCTCTTAAAGTCAACATGCAAAGCCCTATGCAATCCATTTTACTTACATAATGTCAAATTTCCAAGAGCTATATACAATGAGTTATCTATTAGCTATAGACTGCTTTACCAAAACAGTAGCCTAAAACAGTGATTAAATAACGGTTTGACTGCAAGTTAACATTAATAACATTAATCAGTAGCCTGTGTACCAAGCCAAATATTGTTTCATTTCCCTTTTAGGAACTTTTTTTTTTTTTTTTTACTGTAGTTTTAAAAAGTGCAAAATGTAACTTTATAAAGAAATATTTTGATTCAATGATGATAAATGGATAATCAAGGGTTTTTGAATATGAATATTAAAATATGAAATCATTTAAATTAGATTACTACTGCTAAAATGGATCATAAGATATAACTATAATATATATACAGTGTATATATATATATATATATACACATATATTTTTTCTTTTTTTTTTTTTGCTCTCATATCATGAATTTTAGGATCATATAACTGCATTCTAATAGGCTCCATCACACTGTTATTTATTCAGCGTCCTGCATCATGTTCATCAGCAACTGCATCAATGCAAGATGATGGACAGATCTGGACAGGTGTGATAAATGGGTTAATGAATTTAATGCACATTTTGTTTGTTTATTTATTTATTTATTATTATATATATATATTTTTATCATAATTAATTCCACAGCCCTAGTTCAAATTGTTTGGCATTATATCACAAATTATATATCACAAATGTTTGAGTTTACTTTAAAATCCAGGTATAAGTTAGTGCAAAGACTTTTTCAATTTGGACACCAAAAACAGGTTGGAGCTCTTTATTTTGAAAGAGAGCCAAGCTGATGCAGTTAAATCTAAAATACATTTAACTTTAAAATGTACAATGGTTTCCCCCAGACCCCCATAGAGGGACCAAGGCCCATCCTCTATAATCTCACAAAATACTGTGGATAGCACTGAATCATGATTAAACAGAATAGACTATTTTTCATGTTTACTTTAATCCATGTTTTGGTAGAGTTTAGCTTCAACCATACAGGATCGATCACCACTGCTTTAAACAAAAGATATGTCACATTTCATATGGGAATTCAATGATACAGTCATGTCAGACAGCAGTCAGACGAGCTCTAACTATGAACGTGCCTGTAGCCTGCAGCACATACGAGAAACGTGTCTGTTTGAGTGCAGTCAAGGTTGGTTGACGGTCCATTTAAATATGTGCAGCATGGCCATATTGGGATTGTCAATATAATGGTCTAAACATGCACGCATGGTGTTTAACAACTCCACCTGCTTGTTTCCTTTGATGTGTTTGATATGCTATTAAAATGACACAGTGTGGCATCTGAATCCAGAAAGCGCCACAGGCCTTGACGCAATGGCACATGACTGTCTGCAGAGTGCCTGTGTTTACTGGTGTGTTACTTCATGAAAATGATGTGTCAAGAGCAAGAAGGAACCGAGACCATGCACACACATACACATGCACAGTAGAGCTGTAATGATACAAACACTGTAAACTTTCCCCAAGAATACCGGGAATGCATTTATCACTGCCTGTACACATGAAGGTAGCAAGTTTTCTTTCTTTTTTTACACATGCAAAACAAAAAATGCATGTGTATTTTTTTTTTTTAAATGCCCTTTACATTTCCTTTAAAACATAACAGAAAACAATATGCTCTGCACTTCAGACATTTGGAGACTTCACTACTGGCAAAAAGCCTGACGGATATTGCATTTATTCTGCAAAAAAAACAAAAAAAAAACTGTCTGAATAGCAGCATTCTGACTATAGTATGCTGTATATAACTAGCGGAAACTGTGGGTTGACTCTTGACAGTTTCTTTAATAAACACAGAATATTTAATAATTTAATAAAGCACAGAATAAGAATAATTTGTTGCATTCCCTGTTTTTGCAAAACTCTTTTATTAAAACTGAGCTCTCAAACTTTGGCAAATGTATATATGTATGTATGTGTCACGATAGGAAAAAACAAATATGGACATAATAATCAAACTGGAGAACGTGGGGGAGGAAAACACAACATGATACATGGAACAGAGTCTGACAGTATGTATGTAAGTATGCATCTAAATATTTATTTATTTGAAACACTCCTTGTCTGTATATGCTCACTTCTAAGCATAATTTAAACCTCCACTGACTTACTATGTAAAATGTACACTGACACTGGGCGAATTCCAAACGGCTTTTTTGCACCCTTGAAGGGCATTTCGGGAAGGGGACGCCATTTGTAGGGACGTTCCAAATCAAAGTGAACAACTGAATCCCTTCGCGAAGGGCCCTTCCAGAAGTCCGTTAGTGAAGGGAACATGCGATGGTCACTTCACGGAAGTGATTTCCGTTTGTGATCATGTGATCTTAAGTTAGGAGATCTTGCAACGCATTTTAAAGCAAAGTTGTGGTTGATTTCGACTTCACATACAAACGTAAGTAGAATAGGCTAATTCAATTTGTCTTTATTTTAATGTGATACAAAAAAAATTCATCAGAAATATTATTTAAGATGGTAGTTTAAGCAAGTTTAATTTGAAAAATCTTAATAGTAAATAAGACGCAATTAGACAATGTTTGAATAAAATGACAATAATGAGAAGAAATGTATATTTGCAACAACTGGTGGAGAGCTGAATGCTGCATGCACGCGCAGCGTTGTCAAGGTAACATTTGGTCAGTCATTCCCTTCGCCAAGGGAGTTCCAAACGCTTATATGAGACAGTAATGCCCTACACCCTATAAAGAACACACTTCAAGGGCTCTGCCCTTCAAAGGGAGTAGGGCATAGGGATGCTCACTTCCGTTTGGAATTCACCCACTGTCAAAGCTGCACTTTAATATTTACTGTAAACATGCAGCTATTCTCTATTTGATCGCTTATATACTTTAACTGTATGTGCATACTTATATTACTCAAATTAGTGTTTATTTGTTACATCTCTTTTGTCATTAATGTCAACTTTTTTTGTGCTTTGGCAAAATATTTTGGCTGAATTATTCACAATTTATTTATTTACAAAAAACAAAAAAAATAGTATTTTTTTTAATACTTTTGATAAAATAAATGCATACTGTTGATCGGTACTGTAGCCTATATATTTTGCAGAAAAGTGTCATCATCATTTATAAAATATAACAACCATTGGTAACACTTCATAATAAGTATCCACCAATAAAATAGTTAATTAATAGTTTATAAACTTTAGTTAATATATTAATATACTGTACAAATAGTGAGTTATTCATTCATTATCACTGTAATTAACACAATTATTATTATTTTTTTATTAAAATGCCATGAATTGTGATTTAAACCAACAATTATTGAACACTTATTGCATTCATATTTAGTGTTCCTTAAAATGTTCACAAATGCATTAAGGACACACACACACACACACACACACACACACACACTGGCATATGTTGTTTACAGGGACTTTCCATAGGCATAATGGTTTTATACTGAACAAACTGTATTTAACTATAAACTAAAAAGTAAACAAAAACCCAATCATTTATAAATCTTCTGACTACTAGTATTTCAAAATAATGTTCAATTTTCACAGATGATGACAGGAGCCTCTGGGTTTCGGCTGTGCAACTACTCTCAACAATTGGGACACTAAATGTTTGCACTAAAAATCCCAGAGGCTTTTATGACTGGAATTATCCAGACAGTTTATATCTGACAAAAGGTGACAATCATATTCAGTCACGCCTCTAAATGATGGGTTAGGTGATGATTTAACAACTTACTGGCATTAAATTAAGACTTTATTAACACATTCAAACAATTATTACTTCCCTAATTGATCAACTTGACATTTCAGAAGATTCATCTGTTCATGCTTGAGCGTTTTCTCCTTGGGCCATTCCAGAGGAATATTGCGGCGACCTTGAGGTTCACAGACTCAATTTGAGTGTCCTCTGCTCTATATAAATATATCGCAGTGTCTGGTTTTATTTGGACCTTTTATTACCTGTTAATAATATATAAGCTAGCGTGCTCATAAGGTGGATATTGAGCAATCACCTTGGGGAGTAACCGATTTCTGCTTTGTTTTTTGTTCAGAAATATTTGATCAGCGAGGTGAAAAATGTCTGTCGGCTTGTGAGCTGCATTAAATGCGATCTACGCAGGACAGCCCTTTAAGGTCGACGACATTCAGAGAACCCTTCCACAACCGAATGGAACAAGCAAATATGAAAGCTACACAGACAGTCTTTTTCCTTTACTCACAGTCTTCTGGCTCAGGGAACCAGAAAATACATGTAGGCTCCTCAGGGTTATTATAGTTTACTAAACCTAAAACCATGTTGAAAAACAAAAAAAAAATTTAACTGAACGTTAACTTAAAATTATTTATATATATATATATATATATACTCAGTTGCCAAAGCAACATTTCTCATTTAAATTTAGTTTAACATGACATACTAAATTAATTAAAACTGAATTAAAAATTATCAACTGTATAGACTGTATAGACAACTGTATAGAGCTCTGTTGCCTCTGCCGCGATCTAGTGTTCGCAGCCAGGCGAGGACTACTTTGGGCAGTAGCACGGGTGTAGCATCCTCAACTATCTCGACGATTGGCTTATACCAGCACAGTCTCGGGAGCACAGGGACCTGGTGCTCCGGCACCTCATCCAGTTGGGTCTTCGGGTCAACTGGGAAAATGGCAAACTCTCCCCGACGCAGAGGATCTCTTTTCTCGATATGGAGTTGGATTCGGTCAAACAGACAGCACGCCTCACAGAGAAACGTGCGCGATTGGTGCTGAACTGCTTGAATTAATTCAAGGGCTGGACAGCGGTCCCACTGAAACCATTTCAGTGACTCCGGGGGCATATAGCAGCTGCAGCGGCAGTTACACCACTGGGGCTGCTTCATATGAGACCGCATCATGACTGAGTCCCAAGGTGGGCGTGGCAGCGTTGTGTTTCTCCGGGCAGGAGTGCCCCTAGAACAGGTCTCCAGGCATGCTGTGGTTTAGACGGATGCCACGTACAACGGGCACGCAGTGTCGGGGGTGTGGACGGGCCCCCAACTGCGCTGGCATATCAATTGCCTAGTGTTGTTAGCACTGCGCCTTGCCTTGAACCGTCTCAAAGGGCGCTTCCGAGGCAACCGACAAGGTGGTCTGCGCTCCCGTCGCATGTCACAACTCGCCCGCCACCTCCTCATTTGGAGTCGGAAGGTTATGAGGTCACTTCGTGCCATTCACATTCCGGTTCTGCTCAACCGTACGGCCGACGAGCTGTCACGAGCTACGCTCCCAGGAGAATGGTGACTCGATCCCCAGAAGGTCCAGCTGATTTGGAAACGTTTCGGAGCCGCTCAGGTAGATCTGTTTGCCTCTCCAGAAAGCTTTCACTGCCAGTGGTTCTACTCCCTGACCGAGGGAACACTCGGCACGGACGCACTGGCACACAGCTGGCCGCAGGGTATGCGTTTCCCCCTATGAGCCTTCTCTCACAGACGCTGTGCAAGGTCAGGGAGGACAAGGAGCAGGTCCTGCTTGTGGTGCCGTATTGGCCCACTCGGACCTGGTTCCCCGAACTAATGCGCCTCGTGACAGCCCCTTCCTGACAGATTCCTCTGAGGAAGGATCTACTGACTACTAACTCTTCTAGGTGACCTACCCCAGCAGGTAGTTGACATCATCACTTCGGCGAGAGCACTGTCTACTACGAGACACGCTTGCACCTTGAAGTGGAACCTGTTCATCGAGTTGTGTTCTTCTCGCCGAGAAGACCCCCAGAGATGCCTGATCAGGGTTGTGCTTTCCTTTTTGCAGCAAGGGTTGGAGCGAAGCCTGTTCCCCTCCACCCTTAAAGTCTATGTCGCTGCGATTGCTGCTAACCATGACCCCGTGGAAGGGAAGTCCATAGGGAAGCATGACCTGGTCATCAGGTTCCTTAGGGGGGCGAGAAGATTAAGTCCTCCCCGGGCCCCCTCTATACCCTCTTGGGACCTGTCTCTAGTGCTCCAAGCACTAGAGCAGGGCCCATTTAAGCCTTTGCAGTCAGTCGAGCTAAAGTTTCTTTCAATAAAAACTCTGCTCCTGCTTGACCTGGCCTCCATCAAGAGGGTAGTGGACCTGCACGCATTTTCGGTCGACGATTCGTGCCTAGAGTTTGGGCCGGCTGACTCCCAGGTAATCCTGAGGCCCCGGCCTGGCTATGTGCCCAAGGTTCCTACTACCCCCTTCAGGGATCAGGTAGTGAAACTGCAAGTGCTGCCGCCGGAGGAGGCAGACCCTTCCCTAGCTTTGCTTTGTCCCATCCGAGCCTTGAGTTCCTGGGTGCTGGCTCGTGGAGCCTCGCTGACAGATATTTGTAGAGCTGGGTGGGCTGGGTGACCCCCAACACGTTCGCTAGATTCTATAGCCTTCGTGTGGAGCCGGTATCCTCCTGTGTTCTCACCGCAAACAGGTAGAGGCACTGAGAGGCCCCCCGGGAAGGATGGGTCTTCCGCAACGTTCTTGTTCCAAGTGGAACGGGTACGTTTTCCCAGTGCTATCCAATCTCACTGAGTGGGTAGTGCTATGACAACGATGACTGGTCTTCTTGTTGCGAGCCCCGGCCTACACCAAAAAGGGGCGCAGGCATCTCGCATAGGACACTGGAAGGGGCAGCATCCATGGCACTTTGGTAGGGATCCCAATTTGTCGGTCGCCGACATGACGTCAAGAGTGACCGACTGAAAGGGAACATCTCAGTTACGTATGTAACCCTCGTTCCCTGAAGGAAGGAACGGAGACGTCACGTCCCGTCGCCACGGCTGCTGTACCACCGCTGAGCGGCCGGGTCACCGGCTCGGCTCCTCAGCGAAAACCTGGTATGCGTTGCACCAGGCTGCCTTTTTATGCTCGCGCTGTGATCAGCCGCAGCTGGATACCATTATCGCATGCCAATGTGCATTGGCTCGTTTAGTTTACACTCTAAGTGGACTGGTCTCTCTAAGCGAGATCCCAGTTCGTCAGTCACTGACGTGACGTCTCCGTTTCCTCCTTCAGGGAACGAGGGTTACATACATAACCTAGATGATCTTCGTGCTTTTTGGCCGCATTTAGCAGATCTGGACAATAATGTAGTTACATTTTGCGACAGTATAAACAATCAAGCACCTGAGATTTGCTATACAGTGTTGATTCAAGTGAGTGCAATGCAGGGATCCTCAAATCTGGCCCACGAGATCCACTTTCCTGCAGAGTTTAGCTATAACCATAATCAAACACACCTGAGCAAGCTAATCAGTGTCTTCAGGATCATTAGAAAATCACAGGTAGGTGAGTTTGATCAGGGTTGGAGTTAAACTCTGCAGCACATTGGCCCTCCAGGGCAAGATTTGAGGAACCCTGGTGTAATGTATGCATATGTCAGTGATGATTTGGTTATACGTAAAAACAAATAAATAAATAACCAAATGTCGAACCATACACTGTGTGAGAAAATGTATATTTGCTGGATGTTTAGTTTGTATTTTTGTTCGTTCTCTTAAACTGTTCAAAATCTAAATAAGATACAACATACTGTCATGTTTGCAATGCAATGCAGCTCTGATATCAAATAAGTAGTTGGTGGGAATAGAAGATTAATTCATAAACCTGCACAGCCTTTCTGTGAATCCATCTTTTGGGAGCGGGAATGGAGCAGAGCTTTTGCCCGTGGCGTGCGATTTGAGTTCAGGCAGTGGGGTGAAATTGACTGTTACAATAAACCGCAAGAAGTGCCTCTTCTCCCAGAGAAAGCATTTTGGGGCGCTGAATTATTCATGCTTGCTTTATTGCAGATTGGTTCAAAGAGAGAAGTTAGCATGCAAGCCCTATGCAGAGTTTTCAGTACAAGGCGGCTCACAGAAATCAACAACATACTCCGCATATAAGCAGCTGATTAATAACATTTAAAACGTATGGTTGACTGGCCAAGGACAGCCTAGATTCAGTAAGTTTTCTTGAATATGCAGTCATTTGATACCCATTTGCATTACCTTGATTTTTGATTATTATGTTCATTTGATTGCTGTTCAAGCATTTGGAGTCAGTAAGACTTTATTCATCAAGGATGCTTTAAATTGATCAAAAGTGACAGTAAAGACATTTAAAATGTTACAAAAGATTTATATTTCAAATAAACGGTACACTTTTGAACTTTCTATTAATCCAATTCAGCAGCACAACTGTTTTCAACATTGATAATAATCAGAAATATTTCTTGAACAGCGAATCAGCATATTATAATGATTTCTGACGGATCATGTGACACTGAAGCCAGGAGTAATGATGCTGAAAATGCAGCTTTGATCACAGCAATAAATTACATTTTACTATATATTCACATAGTAAGCAGTTATTCTAAATTGTAATAATATTTCACAATATTACTGTTTTATAATGCATTTTTGATCAAATAAATGCAGCCATGGCATGCAACTTTTAATAGACCCCCTGTTATACATTTCATTATAAGTCTGTGCTATAATAACATGCACTATATACATGTAGTACTTTATTAATCCATTTAAATATCTTATGATGCACACATTCAAAACCATTAAAATGATCAATGTTAATTTATGAAGTCATATACTTGTAGATAACTAATACATTTTTTTTTTTTTATCAATAACAAATAAATATTTTAATCTTTTTAGTTAACAGGATAATTGATGCATTATTTGTCAACATGGAGTCAACTTCCTTATATTTTCTGATCTGTTGACTGTATGCAAATAATAAAATGATGTTCTCTCAGCAAAAACGAGTGAAAAGGCAAGTATAATGCCTGTGAAGACTGCTGCCGTATAATGAGCACTGAGTATATGCCTAGAGAAGAGCTGAGAGCAGCTCCTCTATTGAATGAGCAAACAGACGTCTTCTGTTTAATTCAAGCAAAATCAATGAAGATGACTTCAAACGTCACTTAGCCCAATTAGCGCAGCCGTGGAAGTGTGCGGCAGTGAGAGCGTTGTCGAAATCGATCCGCGAATGGGATTACAATACCTGACTCGATGCTCGCTGTCGCCACGTCTACTTATTAGTCATGATGTGTGGCGTGGTGAAATTGTCAAATTTGACAATGGATCGTAAAATTGGCTCTAGACCAGTCTTATTGACAGACCTGACAAGCAAACTTGACGGCTAATGCTGTCAGATCATTGTGTTGGCGTTCTGCGAGCAGACTCAATTTACCACTAAGGTTTTGAAAGGATGTTTCACTGAAAAATTATAGATAGCAATGAATTTCTTTCGGTTTTGCCGTTACCTAGAGTGGCCATTTGTCCAGTTTTAGGTTAGACAGTCCGGTTTTAAAATATCATGTACGTTTATCAGTGCAGGCTTGAGTTGGACACTCATTTGTTCTCCATTAAAGATCACTATTGTATACTTCATGCAGTTGTATATATTAAAAATGTTAATGTCATGTGTAAGTTAATATTAAGTGACACATTTTAGACACAATATTGACAGTATGGATTGTTTTGCTCTATGTTTCACTTATCAGTGGTGATTTGTTGCTGCATTTATGAACAAATCGGTTGAGTGAATGATTCAATAAGTCATTCATAAAGACAGTTGCTATACTCAAAACTGCATAATAATATAATACCCTTACTATTTTTACTAAATCTTTATTTGGCATAAATTACATAAGTATTGTACTAGTACATGTTCCAAAATCAGCAAGGAACTTTCATAATTCCTGAAAGAATCATCAGGCGTTTTGAATGAATTGTTGAATGAGTGAATAGCTGATTCACTCATTAAGACAGTGACTTGTCACCACCTACTGGTGGTTTTAGTTTCATATTTAAAATATAATTGCATAGCTCTACATATAACGCATTCATCTCCTAACACTATTTATGCAATTGTAACTGCAGTGTAAATCCATTCTCTGAGCTGCATTAAACAGTCTGTGCAAATGCATCTAAATGATTTCAGATACAGTTTGTGTGCCACATCTGGAGGGCAAAGATGGATTTTGTTTATATTGATTTAAATTGATTGATAACAACCATATAGTGTCTTCTTATTCTAATAAAATGTATTGAATAAATATATGAATTTACATTTAAGATGACACGTACAGTACATTTAATAAAGTTAGCCAGTTTGCCAAAAATGTCCCCAATAATCATATCATTTTAAGGGGGGAAATATCCCTTAAAGAAAATCTTTATTTTTAGTCACTAGTTTAGGATTATTTTTCAGTTTTCTTTTTATCCTGGAAATTTGAATCCTGAAAAGTGTTCAGCTTTTTGGTGTTATAGAAATGGCCGCTCTAGTGTTACCTGAGTTTTCAAAGTCGTTGTAAGATGCTTCCCAAGTCTCAGCCATGCCGATGAGCGTGTTCTCCATAATCTGGAGGTCAGTGGTGGGACAGTTGCATTGTGGGAACTCGTCGGCACACTGACAGATGCACTGACTGTTCTGACAGACATATTCTCCCTCCCCGTTACACATGATGTAGCTGAGAGCTGACTGGACGAACTTCTCCTGCAGGTACTCGGGGAAAATGACCTGCAAACCTGAAAACGGGAAAGAGAATCAATGTTAAAGTCATTACAGAGATCCAAAGAAATTATTGATTTCACATCAGCGAGCAACAGGTAGAAAGTGCTGCAGATAGTCGACGACAGAAATTTCTTGATTTCACATTAAGCAGCGCATCGGACCGTTCTGGATACGAGCACCTGATACGTACCCGCGTACATTATGGACCCTATGTAGAGCCTTTACAGTTCAGCTCCAGTAAATGAGCTTAGAATATTCTGCCGACAGTGAATCATGTTGTCGGAGAGCAGAATAAAACATTTATAAATAATGAATTCAATATATATATATATATATATATATATATATAAAATTTAATAATTTATTACTATTTTAACAATTGTTTTTTTTTATATAAATTCTTAATTTTTTCTGGTTTCTGGTTTTTAAACAAACATTATAAATAAGCAGCAGTAACAGATACTGTATTGACGTTTACATAAAGAGGTGATATTTGCTACCTTAAATTGATTTCCAGGGGATTTTTACCTTTATAGTGGATATTGTTTATAACCTTATTAGTTGCATGCATAATTTTACATCAAATTCTTACAAGTAATCAATCAATTCATTTAAAAAAATAAGACACTATAGATTTGTTAACAATCAAATGAAATCAGTATCAACAAGTGGCACACAAGCTGCATCTGAAAAGGCGTTATGTGTTGCTCAGAGTTGTAAATCAGTTTTGCTGTGGTTTCATTTGGACATTTTTTTCTGACAAAAAGACAATATTGACAATATTGTATAAAAAATATAACTTAAAATAACAGTAACTTAAAATAAATTACTGTTCATCAAACTTGTTTTTATAAATTTATAAACTATCATATGATAAAAATATAAAGGTGTCTTAGCCGAGTTCACGCTGCTCTGTGCCAGCTCAAAATTCAGTGTAAAGATGCAATGCCGCATCAAAGCCAGACTATTCCTGCTCTGACCCACCTCAGCCCTTGGATCAACAATTGCTGTGTAAATGCATTTAGGCCACCTCTGAGCAGCTTTTAACATTCTGTGTAAAGACACCTAAATGCCACTTCAGAAGCACTTTTGTGCCAATTTTACAGTGTAAATTTGCCATAAGTCAAAAACTAATACAGTGTTTTCTGTAAACATCAGTAAGGGAAATGCATTAGATATTCCTAAAGGACAAAACCTTTTTTTTTTTTTATATTTATCCATATGCCTTATCTCCTCCGCTCCGTGTGTGTGTGTGTGTGTGTGTGTTTGAGTGGGGGTCTGAATGCAAGCTTGTGTTAAATGCAATAGCTACACTACACCACGTAATAAACTTATGTGAATGATTCCTTAAATCATCAGCCTGTAAGTGACCAACTAGAACACCTACAGTGTAAATTTGCCATAAGTCAAAAACTAATACAGTGTTTTCTGTAAACATCAGTAAGGGAAATGCATTAGATATTCCTAAAGGACAAAACCTTTTTTTTTTTTTTCATATTTATCCATATGCCTTATCTTTTTTTTTTCTTTTTATGATTTATGCAACATAACTACAGCACATCAGGAGACTCAATATATCCCACATGATTCAAAAATAAATCAAAGAGCCCTATAGCAAGAGCTATTGAGTTACATGGGGGGCTTTCGTGTCAGAGAATGTATCATTCTCTTAAATAATAAATCATACCTCAAGCATCGACATAAAACATGGTAATGGAAGCTAGCCCTGATATAATACAGCATATCAATTTCTAATGGAAGGAAATGTGCAGCGTGCATATGGATAATTGCTTCATAGTAATTACACATTCTCTCTGTGAAGGATTGTGTTAGAGGTTATGTTGCCTTTATTTACCTTTACACACACAAACACACAGAAAACTTTACGATACGACTTAAAAAAATCATATAACTAAATAAATAAATAAAAGCATTAATGTGCATAAATAATTTGTTGTTACACAAATAACAGTTTTCACATTGACCAATCCTGAATGAGTACATTTAAAAGGCCATTTTGAAATGGCACATCAATTCATCTACTACAGCAGGCGGCAACCTTCATAATACACTTACTGATGTTTATTAATGTTCATACTGATGGATTTAAACAAACCGATATCCCTGTGGTATGTATTAAACATCGCAGTGCTCTGTTTATGCTACAGACACGAATGATGAGCCTTTCATGACTATAACTTTTTTTTTTTATTGCAATAATCTCAGATTAAAAGTTTTACTTTAAAATATCCCTTTAAAGAAATGTTTGATTCATATTTTTGTTGTGCTTTACACTTTTATTTTGAGGTGTTGACTAACATACTAAAGCACATGTGAAGTACTTTTAATCATTTTAATAAATACTTTTATAATTTTAACTGTAGTGTATTATTCAATATTGCATTTAAAGTTAATATATATTTAAATGCATTACAATTGTGTACTTACACATATATTTAAATACATGACATACAAGTTTCAATAGAAATACCATTAAAGTATATTTTAGTTTATCATAAATGCTTGTCAGCACATTAAGCAATACTTTAACCATATTTCAAAGACAACAGAAGTCATTAAGAAATTACATATACTGTTAAAATAAATTAAACTGAAATCAATTTCATTTAATTGCAATTACCATGTAATTAAGTGTCCGAAAATGATGCATTAAGTTCATAGTTAAAGGGATGGTTGACCCAAAAATATAAATTCTGTCATTAATTACTCAGCCTCATGTCACTCCAAACCCATAAGACCTTCGTTCATCTTCGGAACACAAATTAAGATATTTTGATGAAATCCGAGAACTCAGACCCTCGGCAGCAAGGGTCCAAACACATTCAAGGTCCAGAAAAGTACCAAAAACATTGACAAAATAGCCTTAATTTTCAACCTTAATTTTATGAAGCTATGAGAATACTTTTTGTGTGCAAAAAAAAAAAAATAAATAAAATAACGACTTTGTTCAATAATTCTTCACCCTCAAGTCACGCTCTGCCTCCATTATCGAGAGTACCACAACGTATTGCATTGTTTACGTGCAGATCAAAGCACGCGCATGTGTTGTTTTACTCTCCATAATGGCACTAGAGTGACACAGAGGAGAAGAATTGTTGAATAAAGTCAAAGTTATTTGCGTTTCTTTGCACACAAAAAGTATTCTCGTAGCTTCATAAAATTACAGTTAAACCACTGATGTCACATGGACTATTTTGGCGATTTTTTTTGCTACCTTTCTGGACCTTGAACATGTTTGGACCTTTGCTGTCTATGGAGGGTCAGAAAGCTCTCGGATTTCATCAAAAATATGTGTTACGAAGATGAATAGTCTCATGGGTTTGGAACGAAATGAGGGTGAGTAATTAATGAGATAATTCACATTTCTGGGTGAACTATCCCTTTAAGTACATTGTTTTATTATATTGGTAAATAATTATCTTTTTAAAAGTGTACTTCTTTTTCATAAGTTACTACTTTTTCATACTTTACGTTGTGACTGGGTAAAAGATAAGCCCACAGACATCATAAAGACTTTTGACTGTAAGCGACCATCCAGCAATGCACTGTAAGCAAAACACCTAGCAATGCATTACTAACTCTAAAGCAACATCCTGGCATCGAGGCAGCTTTGCATAGGTCAGTGCAGAAAATGCATTTCTCATTTTCACGGAAGTGAGCGGGGCTGGACTGGCCATTCCGATTCCCAGCATCTCTGAGCCACAGCATTGCAGAACAGTCAATGTGACAGACATGAGCTGCCATCAGAGTGCAGGGCTGATCATCACAGTGGCTCGACTGTCTGTCTCTCCATCAGACTGACTGTGGAGCCCTGAGCCAATATTCATTTAGCTTGATGTATTCCTGCTCCTGCAACTTTAATGTGATTTGTGGGTGAATCCAGATGGTGGGCTCATGGATGGGTGCAGCTCGACGACACTGGTGTGTTATCATGTTTGGTTCAGGAGATATGACACATAATTTGGTTATTGCAGAAAGTAAAATGGTCACCATGGCAACCACGAGGTGTTTTTGCAATGGCTCTATTTCTGAAAATGTTCAGGGCCCTAACCTGTACAATTGTACCAAGTTTCATGCTTTTATGAAAAAGTGAACATATCACCTCAAATTTTGCACATATCACCTGGACTAAAGCATTAAAAAATGGCAAGGGAGAATTACTGATGAATTTTATGCTGTAGAATAAAGCGTGGAAATATCTTGAGCTTTTTATCTTGTTATTTCAAGCATTTAACTGAAAACTTAAAAAAAAAAAGAAAAACATTGACTTCAAGACGATGGAAGCGGAAATGTTAACTGGAAGTGTCCTATAGAAATATTTCATCCTTGCAGCACTGTATAGCCAATAGTAACAGTGATACATGAATTTGCATATGCAGCTAAAAATTTTAACATTCCATAAAACTTTGAGCCTTTTTTTTAATACAAGTTAAAATACATATGGTCAGGGACCTTGCAGGAACTGTCACATGACCCGCTGACCATTCGATTTGTTGACTGGTAAAAATGAATAGCCGTGCAAGCCCTAATTTACATTCATATATGTGCACAAATTTAATCTCTCAGTTCATTCTCTCAGTGTTGATCCTGCAAAATGTGGATAGTAAATTGATTTTAGACACACATCTACAAAAAGGTCACGTTCATGGTGTGTCGTAATGCCCACACAAGACACTGAGCCTGTATGTGTCTGTTTATATGCTGGAGGACAGAGAGATAGAGAGAGATTGGATCTGATTGTCAATTCAGCGCTGGTATTCAGAATTGCAGACCCTCTCTGCCATCTCTACTCTCTCTCTCTCTCACATCTCCCGTCTCTTCGTCCCCTCCTGACACCATGGCTTTGCAGGTCTAGCACTTCATCACACACACACACACACACACGCACATATAAATCCACCCTCCAGCTGGAGTTCAAAGACTGTATAAGTGAGATTCTCATCTCTGCCACTCTCTCTCAAAACGGTGCCACAGCAGGCTGTGGAATGGAAAA